CTGTAGTCCCAAGCCTGCCCACCAGTGACGTATCCACCCTGGCTTTGGGGTGCCTCATTGTCTCCCTTCTTCTGTTTGTCTGTGTATTCTTTCGCTATCCCTATCACTGCTGGATCTCCCCCCTCCTCGTGAACCAAACACTCGTGACAACTATGTCAAGGGCAGACCCCGACAAAGAACAAATATTCAATGAGCACAATCTCTTAATTTTGCAGAGAACAAAATTTAAAAACAGAAAGCTGAGATGACCTGATCCAAATCACACTAGTTCAGTAAAGAGTCCATCTTAAATCTAGTTCTAGTTCCTAGGTTAGTTTTCATGACTTTTCCCTAACTTAATTTCTATTTCTGCCAGCCCTTCTCCCCTCTAACTTTTCATAGGCTGTACTTGATTCCTTGTGGTTTTTAAATGCTATTGAGTCTATTCCGACTCACAGTGACCCTGCATAAGGTTTCCAAGGAGGTGACTTTGAACTGTCCACTTTGTGATTCAGCTCACCTTGTGGTCCAGGGATTGGTTCTACTGCAACACACCAGGACTCCACTTTACTCCTTATACTGTCTTTATTATAATCCAATAAAAACTGCAATTGTTAAAACACGTTTTCTGAAGAGATGTATTTTGTTTTCTGAAGAGATGTATTTTAGCTACCAAAATTCCAGGTTCTTACTACCACACACATTTGATTTCTTAACCAATGTTTCCATGAGTTGATGGTGGATATGAGCAAAATGAAGTCTGGAACAACTTCGATCTTTTCTCAATATATTATAATGGTATTTATTGGGCCAGTTGTGAGGATTTTTGTTTTTACATTAAGGTGCAACCCATGAAGAAACCTATGGTCTTTGATCTTTATCAGTCCTTTCAATGTTCATCCCTTTCAGCAAGCAGGGTTCTATCATCTGCATTTGCAGGTTGTTAACAAAACTTCTATGGTCTATCCTATGTTCTTCTACATATAATCCAGCTTCTCGAATTATTTGTTCAGCATACAGATTGAATAAATATGATGAAAGAATACAATCCTAAAGCACACATCTCCTGATTTAAGACCATTCAGTGTCCCCTTGTTCTGTTCAAACAACAGCCTTTTGGTCTTTGTACAGGATCCTCATGAGCACAATTAAGTGTTCCGGAATACTCTGCAGTGTTGTCCATAGCTTGTCATGACTCACACAGTCAAAAGTCTCTGTATAGTCAATAAAGCACAGGTAAACATCTTTCTGGTATTCTCTGCTTTCAGCCAAAATCCATCGACATCAGGATTGACATCACTCATTCTATGTCCTCATCTCAATCTGGCTTGAACCTCTGGCAGTTCCCTGTCAATGTATGGTTACAGCTGCTTTTGAATTATCATTAGCAAAATTTTACTTGCATGTGATATTAATGATATCTGATGATTTCAGCATCCATTCAGAATGTAGAATATGGGTCTCTTCCAACCAGTTGGCCAGGTAACTGTCTTCCAAATTTCTTAGTGAGGATGAGTGAGTGCCTCCAGTGTTGCATGAAAGATTTCAGTTTGTATTCTACCCAATTCTTGGAGGCTTGTTCTTTACTGAAACCTTCAATGAACACTGGACTTCTTCCTTCAGTACCACTGGCTCTTGATCATATACTACATCTTGAAATGACTGATCAATGACCATTTCTTTTTGGTACTGTGACTCTGGGTATTCCTTCCATTTTCTTTTGATGCTTTCTGCATCATTTGGTATCTTGCCCAAAGAATTCGTCAACATTGTAAACCAAGGCTTGAAGTTTTTCCTCAGTTCTTTCAGCTTGAGAAATGCTAAGCGTGTTCTTTTTTGGTTTTCTAACTCTAGTAACTGCTGTTAAGTGCCACAGAGTCGGTTCCGATGCATAATGACCCTGTATAGGGTTTCCAAGGAGCAGCTGGTGAGCTTGAACCACCAACCTTGCAGATCAAACCGGCTTTGCAGTCTGGTGCATTAACCCACAGCACTACACCAGGTCTCCAGTTATACTGGTAAATGCAGACACAACACTGATGATCATCCTAAACGTCTGGATTTTTACCTCCATCTATGCATTAATCTGGAGTCCTGGTGTAGCAATGTGGGTTAATGCACCAGACTGCAAAGCAGTTCGAACTGCAAGGTTGGCATTTCACTCTCACCAGCCGCTCCTTGGAAACCCTATACAGGGTCCCTATGGGTCAGGATCCACTCAACAGCACTTAACAACAACAAATACATTAATCTGTTGCTGTTATGCTGTTATAACAGCTGTCAAGTCAGTTTCAACTCAGAGCAACCCTGTATAAGGTTTCCGAGAAGAAGCTGGTGGGCTTGAACTGCAGATGTTGTGGTTCACAATCCAGTGCGGATCCTACAGTACCACAGCAGGAATCCAAGCTACGTCCTACATGAGTCAACACAGAGTCTGGACTTCTTCTTTGATGAAGTTTCTTGGGCAATCTCAATGACTAACATAGCTCACGGCCCTTCAAATCCAGCAGTGCCACATGGGTTGTGTCTATACCACTTATATGCACATCTACTATGAGTATTCTCATTTGGTCATTAGCAGCTGAGGACAGACCTGCTTTAGACTACAACCCCAGAGACTGAGTGGTGCCTGGAGCCTGCAAGGTGAGTGTGTCTAAAGACTCATATTATTAGTAGCACCCATGCAAGGAGTCCTGGTGTGGTGCTGTGGGATAAAACACTGGACCGAAAGGTTGGCTTGAACCACAAGACTGGCGGCTCAAACTCACAGCTGCTCCTTGGAAACCAACTACAGGGTCACTATGAGTCGAAACCCACACGATGGTAGTTATGACATGCAAGGTTTGACATACTTTGTTTCATCTTGCCTTCACAACCGTCCTATGACGCAGGTAATAAAAATCATCTCCATTGTCTAGATTAGCATCATGAAGCTTAGACAGGTTAAGTTGCTTGTCCAGGTGCGTACAGTGAGCAAATAAACATAACCAAGATTCCAAGGATGCGACACTGAGCCAATTCTCATAGGGCCTTTCACTAAATTCTCATAATCCTCACAAAATTTTCTTTAATTTTAATACATTACTGTTGCTGTTAAGTGCCGTCGAGTCGCCTTCGACTCATAGAACCCTGTGCAGACTTTCAGAGGAGCGCTGGTGGGTTGGAACTGCTTCGCCCCACTCCCCCTAAGTTTAGACCAAACACGCCAAAGCCTACCTGAAGGGTTTTGTGCACGAGGGGGAGATGCTGAGCAACAGGAGAAGGAGTTTTTGGTAGCCCCGGCAGGACCTCTCGGTCACCGAGCCCGCCCATCCGTGGCCGAGGATCCCGAGAGACGGGGGCGGCGCAAACAGCCCCAAGAGACGCGACGCACGGCCTGTCCGGCTCGCAGACAGGCGGCCGCAGATGCCCGACGGAGAGGATCGCAGAGAGGGCAAGGCGAAAATGCGACGTACCTCGGGAGGGCGGCCACGAGCAGCGGCGACGTTCCCTGTGGCCCCGCGGCTCAGTGAAGTGGGTAGACTTGCGCCTCCAGCCTTCTCCCGGTACTAGTGAGGAGAAAGGCAGGTCCTAGGTAGCACGGTCTGCGATGCGTGCTACACTCCCGAGGCCCCGCCCCTTCCCGTGCCGCCCCTGTCACTTCCGTCGGCGGCGCGGCTCCAGCTCTGCGCTAGTGTCCCGGGACCGGTTCACAGTGCTCCGTTTGCAGAGCTGGAGAGGCGCGAAGGCTTCCTGTTGGTTCCGGCTAACGGAGCGGAGGCATCGAAGGGGGTAGAATGTGTTGCGAGAAGTGGAGCCGCGTGGCCGAAATGTTTCTCTTTATTGAAGACCTGGAGGAGGATTTTAAGATCCGTTGCCTCTGCTCCAGGGCATTTGTAGAGTAAGTAAGAACGCGTTTCTTTTCTTTGCTAATGTGACCCTTTCCCAGAAAGTGTTGCCAATGCAGTTGTAATTGACCCATGAAACCACAGCTAGAATATTTGACCCTCGTACAAAATGATGTTTTAAAAGCAATTGAAAAGTTCCCAGACATTACCTTTATTAGTTACGTGAAGGATTAAACCTACTTTGAAAGCTGTTCTGAAAAAAAAAATGCTAGCCAAGGTGTCATTATTTAATTTATAAATTGAGAAGACATAAATATTGGCACAAAGTGGAATGTGACATGAAACTGTTTTAGTGGTTGCGACGTCACAAGGTGCAGCTTTTAAAGTTGGATACTTGTGATTACCATCCTTTTAAAAAAAAAACAACAACAAAACCCTCAGATCTGTTTATGCTGAAATGTACATAATTAGAAATATTGATTTTGTAAGATGAAATGTACATTTACGTTAGTTTTTTAGGTATCTAGTGCTGGAAACGGTTTCTATCAGGCAAAAACTGTCTTGCATGGAATGTAGCTATTGTATAGGGGAAAGATGGCTAGAGAAATGGATTTTAGTTTTCTCAGTGTTTATCTCTGATTTGTTATTTAAATCTTTGTTCATTATTAAAGCAGACATATTTGCCATAATTATCACACATGCTTATTATGAGAATCAGATTCTGTGGAAGCAAATTTTATGTGATAGCCTTTTGATCTGGTTTATTGTAGTAAAATTTAAGTTTGGAGACTGTTTTATTGTGCATATCATATCTTCCTATGCATAAGAAAGACTCATAGTATGCTGTCTCCCAGTCACTTAAATATATACCGTATCTGTCATGTTTTTGTGAAATAATCCAAAAATTGTCCCCAAAATAAATGAAGGTTCATGTTAAATGTAATGTAAAAAGTAGACATTTTCAGAACAGAACCTTTGTATTCATGCAGTCATTCAACCAATGTTTAGTGTGTTCAATACCCTGGTAAGCCATGGAAGACAAGACAACTTTCCTTGCATTATCTTTCTTGGAAAGGAGATCAATATTAAGATGATTGGTTAATTAATTAATTAATTGGTTAATTGGCTTCATAAGTGATATGAGAGGAAGCTATGATGTTGTTAAGTGCCACCAAGTTGGTTCTGACCCATAGCTACCCTAAACAGGGTTTCCGAGGCTGTAAATCTTTACGGGAGCAGAAATCCTCATCTTTCTCTCATGGAGGAGCTGGTAGTTTTGAACTGGTGATCTTGCAGTTCGCAGCCTGATTCATAACCAGTAAGCTACCAGAGCTCCTTGAAGCTAATTTTGTCCTAAGGGTGGCAGAGGTTTCTTTGAGGGAAGGTCACTTGAATAAAGGTCAAAAGAGTGAGTGGAAATAAACTGTGGAAGCACCTCTGAAGAAAGGTCCATGATCTGCTTCAAGGGGAAAAAAAAAGCTGTTGAAAACCTGCGGAGCACTGTTCTACTGTAACACAGCGGTTGCCATAACTCAGGGTCAGTTTAGGGCCACTGGTAACTCATAAGTTAGTGTGAGAAGAAACAAGTCCTAAGGGGGAATCTCTTAGAGGATCAGGAGAAAGCCTGATGGAAATCTCCTAGAGGATCAGGAGAAAGCCGACAAAACTGAAACTGGATGACTGGGAAAGAATTGGTGAGGTTGTTGTTCTAAGAGTCTTCGAGTCGGTCTAACCCGTACGGCCCTGTACAGGATTTCTGAGGTTCAGACTATGTGGTCGAGTGCTTATCCTATAGCGTGACACCAGGACTCCCCAGAATTGGTGAGGTAGGCAGTGCCAAAACATGTGGGACTTTTGTAAACAATTGGAAGACTTTAAGGTGGGGTATGGCATGAAAGGATTATTCTGGCAGAATAAAGGATTGTTTGCTGGAGAACCATTGGATTAGGATCAATGGTAGTGGTTAGGACAGCAGTGAGTTCAATGTTATATGTTGATTTTGAGATACCCAGGAGCCCTGGTTAAGCATTCCACTGCTATCCTCAAGGTCACCAGTGCAAACACACCAACAGCTCCAAGGGAGAAAGATAAAAGTTTTCTGCTCCTTTAAAGATTTATGGTCTCAGAAACTTTAACGCAAGGTAAGCAGTTCGAAACTACCAGCAGCTCCACAGGAGAAAGATGAGGCTTTCTGCTCCCATAAAGATTTACAGCCTCAGAAACCCTATTCAGGGTCGCTATGGGTCAGAACCAACTCGACGGCACGTAACAACAACATCAATCAACATTGTAGGAGTCCTGGTGTGGCGCTGTGAGTTAATGCGCCAGACTGCAAAACCGTTTGAACTACAAGGTCAGTGAGTGATTCAAGCTCACCACTCGCTCCTTGGAAACCCTATACAGGGTCGCTATGGGTTGGAACCGACTCAACGACACTTAACAACAATCAACATTGTAAGGAGCTCTGGTAGCGTAGTAATTACGAATCGGGGTGTGAACTGCAATGTCAGCAGTTCGAAACTACCAACTGTTCCATGGGAGAAAGATTAGGCTTTCTGCTCCGTAAAGATTTGCAGCCTTGGAAACCCTGTGTAGGGTCGCTATGAGTCAGAACCGGCTCCATGGCACATAACAGCAATCAACATTTTAGCATGGTGGTTATGAACTGGGCTGCTAACCTCAGGGTCAGCAGTTCGAAACTACCAGCTGTTCCCCAGGAGAAAGATGGGGCTTTCTGCTCCCATAAAGATTTACAGCCTCGGAAACCCTGTGCAGGGTCGCTATGAGTTGGAACTGACTCCACAGCACATAACCATGAGTCAACATTGGAAGTGACTAATACACCAAGCAAAATGAAGACTAAAAATATCTGCTAGAATTGAAAAAAAATTTTTAAAGGATAGAACGCCCCTAGATTACATGTTGTTGTTCTTTGCCATCGAGTCGGTTCCGACCCATAGCGACCCTGTATAGGGTTTCCAAGGAGTGGCTGGTAAAGGTGAACTGCAGACCTTGCAGTCCAGTGCATTAACCCACAGCGCCACACCAGGACTCCTGAGTCTTTTTTACCATCCTTTTTAATACCACTAATCGAAGGAGCTCTGGTAGCATGGTGGTTATGAATCAGGATGCTAATCTCACGGTCAGCTGTTCCATGGAAGAAAGATGAGGCTTTCTGCTCCTGTAAAGATTTACAGCATCGGAAACTATGTATAGGGTTTCCTAGGAGCAGCTGATGAGTTTGAACCGATCTTGAGGTCAAGTCAAATATCGTAAGATATTTAAGTGATTTAAAGTCCTGGTGTGGCGCTGTGGGATAAAGCACTGAACCTTAAGGTCGGCGGTTCAAACTCAACAATTGCTTCTTGGAAACTCTATACAGGGCCACTATGAGTGAGAACTGACTCTGTGGTACTTTACACATAACAGTATCAATGTCATGAGAACAACTGATGTGTTAAAATGGTTTAACACATCAATGTAGATTAGATATAAGTCTATTCTTGGAACTGAAGAGCCAGAAAGTACTTCCGCTTTGCTGTTGGTAGGTGTTACAGAGTCAGTTCCAATGCACTGGCACCCTTTGCACAGTAGAAGGAAACATTGCCCAGTCTTAACCATCCTCACAATGGTTGATAAGTTTTAGCCCATTTTTACTGCCTCTGTGCCAGCCCATCTCATAGGGGTCTTCCACTTTTTCTCTGACCCTCCACTTTACCAAGCATGATGCCCTTCATCAGGGAGTGGTCTCTCTTGTCAACATTTCCAAAGGACAAAAACCGAAGTCCCATCATCTCACTTCTAAGGCACATGCTGGCTATACTTCCAACACAGATTTGTTCTTCTGGCAGTTCATGGTACTTTCAATATTCTTCAACACAATAATGCAGATGCATCAATTATTCTCAGGTCTTCCTTATTCTCTATCTAACTTTCACATACATATGAAGCAATTGAAAATACCTTGGCTTAGGTCAAGCGCATCATAGTCTTCAAACTGACATCTTTGCTCCTGAACATGTTAAAGAGGTCTTTCGCAATAGATTTGCCAAATGCAAAATGCTGTTTGATTTCTTGACTGCTGCTTCCATGAGTGTTGATTGTTTAAACTAGTGGATGATTGTAGACAAATTCCCTTACTAAATACACATCTTAGTCTCTTTGGTGCCTTCAAAAAAAGAAAGGATACCTTTTATGTCATGGAAAAGTATGATTTCGAGTTTAAAGTGAACATCTTCCCAAATCAATGAAGCTTTGCAACAAGTTTATTGGATTGCTACACCACATAAAACAAGTTTTTAAATGAGTCAAGTGTTTTAAGGAAGGTAAAGATGACCTCAGAGATGAGGTAAGAGTGAAATACCGTCAACCTGAATGAATGAAGAAACTAGCTAGGTCCAGAAAGTGGTGGAAGAATTACCATTGATGTAATAGCTACTGAAATTGGGATCCCATGTGTCTTGGCATCAGTTTTCCTCTGGGTCAGTATTTTCCATAATAAGTGAACATCCTGGCCTCAGCATACTTATGATTCAACAGATGCCAAAAGTATTGCACAAAGATCAGCTAGCTCATACAGCTGAGCTTTCCATTACTCATTAAGTAAGATCACAGTTAATTAATGGGATTCTGTGGAACAAATCAGAACGAAGGACAAGTCTTAGATTTACCAGTATGATCCAGAGAGCAAGATTCAATCAAAACACTGTCTAGCCCTGCGCCATCCTCACAGGTTCATTGTGTTTGGGCCTGTTGTTGAGGGTCTCCTCTTTTTCTTTGACTTTCCTCTTTACCATATATGATGTCCTCCAGGAGCTGTTCTCAAGAATGAGAGACAAAGTCTTGCCATCCTTGTCTCTAAGGAATATTCTGGCTGTACTTCTGAGACAGATTTGTTTGTTCTTCTGGCAGTCTGTTGTTAAGTGCTGTTGAGTCGATTCCGACCCATAGCGACCCTGTGTATGGTTTCCGAGGAGCAGCTGGTGAGCTTGAACCACCAACCTTGCAGTTCAAACTACTTTGCAGTCTGATGCATTAGCCCACAGCGCCACAC